AATAATTATAAAAATAATAGCAAAAATTAAATAAATAATTTTCCATATTCAATTATAATTAAAATTATAAAAATGTTTAAAGTTAAAAATATTGTAATGTAATTGGTGCAATTTTCATTTTGTTAATTGTGGGTAGGCTGTCTGTAACAACTATATCTTTAAGACATGTAACACCTCAGTCTCTCCCGTGACCATGGATGCTGTAAAGCATTCGAAACGTCGGGAACCAAAAATCAAAATAAATCCGCGAAATAATCCGAAAAGATAGTTTTTTTTAATAATCTGGAATTAAATTAATAATAATAATAATAATAATGAACACTTTATTGCACACCACACAAGAAAATAAATAAAGAAGTGAAATACATAACAATAAAAAGATGCACAGCAGGCGGCCTTATCGCTAAAAGCGATCTCTTCCAGGCAACCTTAGGGTAGAGGAATCAGTATATAAAAATGGTAGGCGGTGTACTTGTATAAATACATACTTATACACATACATATATACATACATACATACATAAATACATACATACGTACATACATACATACATACATACATACATACATACATAAATACATACACAAATACATACATACAAACATATATGCATACAAGCAGTATAATAGAAAAATATAATCAGTATTTAAGTTACGTATTTCAAATAAATACATATAAGATACATACAATATCAAATATATTGTACATAATATATTATAATAAGACCAACTAAAGAGATAAATAATGCGTTTTTAACATCATCTTAAACTTGTCCAAATTATCAGCCCGTCTGATGTGTACTGGTAAAGAGTTCCATAGACGTGCAGCTTTCACAGAAAAGGAGTTGGTAAGAAAACAAGAGGAGTGAGAAGGAATTTTGAGGATAAGCGTTTCACTAGAACGCAGGGAACGAGTATGAGAATTCCTTAGAAGCTCGAAACGCTCTTTGAGATAGGAAGGGGTAGAAGGATTAAACAGCACGCAGTAGAGGAGATGAAGTATGTGAGTATTCCTGCGAAAGCGGATTGGGAGCCACTTGAGTTTTTTGCGAAAGTGAGAAACGTGGTCATATTTACGGAGACCGAATATGAACCGTATGCAAAGATTTTGAAGGCGCTCAAGTCGATTCAGGTGCTCCTCTTTAAGGTCAAGAAAACAAATATCAGCATAATCAAGTATTGGTAATAAAAGTGAATTTGCCAGCGCAATTTTAGTAGGTACAGGCAGAAAATTTCTCAACCTGCGAAGGGAGGAAACAGCTCCAAACATCTTGCGGCTCAGTACACTTACCTGGGGCCCCCAGGATAAATGCTGGTCAAAAATGATTCCTAGGTTTTTTACTGTTTCGGTAAAAGGAATTTCAACATCGTTTAACATCACCGATGGTATCAATAACCGAGTAATTTTAGAATGCAGTTTCTGGCTGCCTATTATAATAGCTTGCGATTTAATAGGGTTAATATCAAGGCCATATGATTTACTCCAAGCAGAGATTCTGGCAAGATCATTATTAATTAAATTAACTGTATGAGGTAAGTCTGATAGAGATGTGGTTGCGTAAATTTGTAGGTCGTCGGCATATAGGTGGTGGAGAGAAGAAATTTGATGGCAAATAGAATTAATGAAAATTGAAAACAGGAGAGGAGACAACACGCCACCTTGTGGGACACCGGCATTAATCGTATTCCAATCAGAAAAGGAATCCTCAATTCGTATACGCTGCCGGCGGCCACACAAGTAACTACGAAACCAGTCAATCACCTCAGGAGATATGTTAAGAGAAGTTAATATGGCAATTAGTATATCAAAATCAACAGTGTTAAAGGCATTACTGAAGTCTAATAGTACCATCACGGTAACCTTCTGACTGTCCATACCCTCTCTAATATCATCAGCGATTTTGACCAATGCAGTAGTCGTACTATGACCGATGCGGAAACCGGATTGAAAGGAGTTTAAAAGATTATGATTAAAAAGAAACGTGCTTAACTGTCGATGCACAAGATGCTCCAGTACTTTCGATAGGAAAGGGAGAATGGATATAGGACGGTAGTCAGCAAAAGAAGATGGATTAGACTTTTTTGGAATGGGAATTACTTGACCATCTTTCCAGGCAGTAGGAAACTTATGGGAAAGTAAGGAGGAATTTAAAATTGATGTAATTGTAGGAGCTATTAAGTCAAGAACAGGAACAATCATTTTACGACTAATGCTGTCCGCGCCCACCAATTATTTTAAAAATCTTTAATATTATTTGAAATGATATTGTATATATATAAATTATCATTAACAAACAAATAAATAAACAATGACAATAAATTAAATAATTCAATTGAGTAAATACTAAACATTTCACAATAATAAATATAAATAAAATTTCTTTCCATACATTAATTCTGACAATAGTTATAAATTAGGTATTTAATTTCATATTTAAATGTATTTATTTAGTAAATGTCTTTTTCATGTATAGACCCCTCTCGGTTAAAAGCCTCCTCCAAAGTAGTCCTGCATAGAGCTCTCCGTTGGAGATTATGCTTGTATGATTGCAAAGGGTTTCTTTTCAAATTTTGTTTCCAAGATATAATTTGTTTCTGATATGCCTATCAAGTTTATAATTTTATCTTTGAGTTCTTTTGATTTGTTGTAGGAAATACTGCTTTTAATTCTTTTCTGGTGAAGATATGTATACCTTTGTCATTGTATGTCTGTTTTTCTTTGGAGGGTTATGGTCGAACTCCCCACAATGACCGGCCGTACTGGGGGATAAAGATGAAGAGGTTCCTACTGTGTTTAATAAACTGTATCTTGCAGTGTTGTTTTTAGTTGTTCCTGGTTATCATTTGTGTGGTTGAAAGTTAATTTTGGATTTTGTAATATAAAGTCTTTAATATTACCAGGTATGGTTTTCTTTGTATGTTGTTTATTTGTTAGTTTTTGTTTATAATTGAGGTAAGGCGTTTCTGGAGATACAGGCAGACTTCTTATATTTGAGTATTGGTGAGAAGTGTTCTTATTATTATCCACAATAATTAGTTTGTCATATTTTAAGAAAGCTGTTTTGCCTAGGTCTTTTTCTTTATCTTCAGTTGGGCTTGTAACTCCTTGCGTTTGTTTAAGACTATTTTTTCCTCTAGTTCATGATAGGATTTTTCACCTTCTTCTACTATGAACATAACCAAGTTCTTGCGCCTAATATGTCTTTCTAAATTATTTATTAAGGTACTTTGTTCCTGGATTTTTTTCTCAAGAACTTCAATTTTTATTTCTAAGTGTTTAAATCTCTCATTTAAGTATATTATTGTTGATTGTATTTTTAATGTCTTCTTTCATTTCTAACATTTCTGTTTTCTGCTGTTTTATTTCTTGTTGCATGTTTATTAACAACTTTTTTATGTCCTCAATCTTAAGTGTGAAGTTGGAAGTAGAAAAGCTGATTGAAAAAGAGCATAAATTATATATATACCTAGTTGAATATCAATTTTATACCGAGTATTAGTCTTTGAGGTTATAAACTTATGTTTTAATATTTTACGCTTTCACTTCACACATTATTTTGTTTTATTGTCATCACACACAGAAAAGATGGTTTTGCACTGATACTATCTATAAGTTATGTTTGTCACTTTTGTATTTGTTTGGTAGGTGAATTTTTAAAAGCTCATTTGTTCTTCAACACATCAAGACTTGGTGATGTTTACATATTTCCCATAGGTTTTATCGATTAACATAATTTACCATTTTTATTTAGATTTTTTCCACTTAAATATTTTTTTACTTGATGTAAATACGGACACGATGTTGACAGTTGCACAGTGGCGCCTCCCACCCACCAGAAGCGACAACTGACTACTGACAATGCAAAAATTGTGAAAATGCAAAAGAAAATCGCATGAAAATTCGAAAACTCGCGTTTTCCCAGAAATAAGACTAATCTAGATCGATTTATCGCCCCCGAAACCTCCTACGTGCTAAATTTCATGAAAATCGTTGGAGCCGTTTCCGAGATTCAGATTATATATTGATATATATATATATATATATACAAGAATAGCTCGTTTAAATATATAAGATTTAAACAATGTTTATATTTTTACTTTATGAAACAAATGATTTATACAAAAAAAATATAACAAAATGGCTTGTGTATAAACGAAGATTATTGTTCTCCTAGCGACTCACCCATGCTTCGCTCGTTTTTGTCCCTAGGTACGTTTTAAAAGTTAGTATGGAATAGATAGACTATATATTATATGATATATTAGTCTATTTATTTCTCAATAATCGGGCTATCTAATGCAAAAAAAATATTTCAAATAGGATTAGTATCCCTGAGATTAGCGCGTTCAAACAAATAAACCCCACCACTTTATAATATTAGTATAGATTATGAATTTAACAATAAATACAAGAGAAAAGATTAACATTGACTATTAGTAGACTCGTGGGAATTAAGATGACAAAAAGGGAATTACAAAATCAAACCAAACACATTAAACAAAAACAGCAAAGAAATACAAAAAAGATCGGTTAAACTGAGAACCTCTTATTCCAAATTTATTGCTTCCCAATACCAACTTTCATTCCCATTGTCACCCTCTTAAGGGATGATTTCCAGGATAAAAAGTATACTATGTCCTTCCCAGTCTCTCAAACTATCTTCTTACCGAATTTCATCTAAATCGGTTTAGTAGATCCAGAGATTACCCCCTCTTCTTCTTCTTTTTACTCTTTACAGTCTTGACAGACTGGTCGTGATCATCATATAGGTCTTGTAACCCGTTCGACTATTCGCCTCCACTCCTCTCTATTATTTGAGTTTCTCGCACATTCATGCAGTGGGACGTCTACTGCCGCTCTGACTTGGTCTGTCCACCTCATTGCCGACCTACCACGCGCTCTAGTACCCCCTCCCCCCAGATTACCCCCTACCACCTCACAAACTTTACCTCTTTATAATATTTGTTAAAAATGACAAAAAAATCATGGAAAATCTCACCAAATTGATGAACATGTTGATAATAGCCCCCCCACCACATAGAAGTAGAGAAGTGAAAGCTCCCAACGAGCCAGCCAGCAGCGACACGTTGCTGGCTAGCGGCGCCCAAATACCGGTCGCTATAGCACTCAACGTGCCCACATTGGCTTGCACCCATGCGATTATACCAGTGTAGTCGAATAAACCTGTACCGAAGATATCACACAGATGTAATAACGGTTTCTATGTTGAATTGTTATGAGTTTTTGTTTTATATTGGACGACACGTTTGGCTCAATTTGTAGTGATCCTACTTGCTGTGCCAGCTGTCGCGGTTTCGAGTCCCGTAGGGGGCATTCAATTGTGATGAGCACGATTGTTTGTACTCCAGTCATTGGTGTTTATAATATGTATGTATTTAGCACGTAGCTTAACATGGAACCACATGGTGCTGTGTGTAAATGTCTCAACATATTTATTTACTTATTTATTGAAAAAAGGATATGAATAAAATAAAGCTAAGCTAGCGCTGACCATTTTTTTAACGTTGGGAATTAAATTGACGCATACCATCTACATATATACAGGTGGTAATGCGGGACTCAAGGGCTAGAAAAGCTAGTGCTACCTAATAAAACCCAACGGACCCTCCCGTCTCTATGATAAATAAATAATATGTAGGAACATTAGCACAGCACCACCTAGTTCCATGGTAAGCAACGAGGCTTGTGTTATGGATATCACATAGTCACGGGCTAATACTAGATTAATATATTTAATAAATTTTAACACTTAACCCACCAGGAGCACCCACGTCGTTTACAAAACTATCCCAAGAGTCTTGAACAGCAGTGCCATCAACTTGGGGGCCCATCTGTGTGGCGAAAGTCCCAGAAACCCAGCTTTGGTACACTCGATCCCATATTTCTAACACTTGCTGTTCTACTTTCGCTATTTTTTCTGGATCGCCTTCTTTTAAGATGCTTTTTACCTGATTTTAAACATAACAATACATTTGTAATATAATGAATATTCTCAATATAATAACATCAGAAAAGTAAGTAGCATCAAATGTGTAACATTGTAAGAAAAAGGCAAATAAAATTGACATACACTGACAAAAGCTGTAAGAAGTAAAATAGATATTTAAAAATAAATAAAAGAACTCTAACATATATTTTAAAAATTTAAAAATGATAGTAAAAAATGTTCTAGTTTTAATGTAATAGACCGTAGTAAACTTTGTGAATTTTTGAACGGAAATTCGAATTTTTATGTAAATTAAAATAACATTAAAAATTTTAGCGCTTTATTAATCGTCTAAGCTAATAAAATTAGAATTAATTTATATATTATATAGAAGAGTACATAAATGGAACATCACAAACACATCAGAAAATATAATTGCATTGAGTTGAAGCGAGACCATAATATTGTAATTATTATGATCATTAGCAACTTACATATCTCATTATCTGGAGTCCAAGGAGTTGCATAGAAAAATAAATGATTTATTTAGTTTCTTATAACATGTAATTTTTTGTAAAACTAAATGATATTTGTATATAGACATATATAAATGTAAATTTTATTTTAATACTTTCTTAGATTTATGCGAATATTTGACATTTTAAATAAAACTATCTTTTCGGATTTTGTCGCGGATTTATTTATATATATTCGCTTCGATAGGCCTCAAATCCTGGCGAAAGAAAACCGATATCGCCCTAGAATGATTCGAGAAGCCATAGAAATTAAAAAACATCCTAATTTCAATAGGGAAGATGGCTGGGTACTACCATCGTCATGGGATCCTGTTATTAATATAATAAAATCTAATAATAAATCTAAACATAACAGACAGGTAGATGTAGTAAGTTCTTACTGTGTAGATCAAAATGATAGCATTTCTGATTAATAATATTATTTTTTCACTTTTTCATTTGTAAATGTATGTAGTAATGTGTTGCTTAATAATTTGTTTTTAAATAATAGCAAATTTAAATTAAAATTATTATTTTTTTAATAATCTTAACTTTTTCAAATTACACATAGATCAATTGTGGCTTAAATAATTAATACCATATTTTATATTTTTCTTATGGTTATAAATATAATAATGGCAACACTAAATATAGATTGCTAATTAATATTTTTAAAATTGTAATAATTATAAAAATAATAGCAAAAATTAAATAAATAATTTTCCATATTCAATTATAATTAAAATTATAAAAATATTTAAAGTTAAAATATTGTAATGTAATTGGTGCAATTTTCATTTTGTTAATTGTGGGTAGGCTGTCTGTAACAACTATATCTTTAAGACATGTAACACCTCAGTCTCTCCCGTGACCATGGATGCTGTAAAGCATTCGAAACGTAGGGAAACAAAAATACAAATAAATCCGTGACAAAATCCGAAAAGATAGTTTTATTTAAATTTTATTTTGTTAAATATGTATACTCATAGTTAATCTATACATATAATAAAATTGTAACTAAGTCGAATCTGTAAAATTAAATATTTTTTGAAAAATCTTATTGAAATAGACATTATTATCGATACAGAGTCCGAATCTATAGTTTTTAGAATTTTTGTCTGTCTGTCTGTTACCGCATCACGAGAAAACTACTAGACAGATTTTGATAAAATTTGTTATGATGATAGCTGGTTATCCGGGTCAACATATAGGATATTTTTTACCGCGGTAAAATATCTCATTTCTGAGAAAAAATACAAAAACTGCAATGTAAGATTAATGATTATACTAATATGTAAAACCTAAAAATTTGGTTTTTGGTCATCTGAACGCGGGCGGAACCGCGGGCAATGCTAGTTTAGTCTAATAAAATTAAACTCTTATTATGGAAAATAGCCAGAAAGCTTGTATATTATATTCTATAATTTTTTCTACATAATTAAAAGCAGATTTAGTGAAAAAATAGTAAAAAAAGATGTTAAAAATAGTAGAAGGGGTTCATCTTTAACCGACTTTAAAAGGAAGAGGTATTCAATTCATTATGTGATGTATTTTACGCAGTATCTTCACCAATTATAAACAGATTTTTATTTTTCTTTATGCCTCAAGAATAGCCTCATATATATTTAAAAAAAAATCACATCTTAGGGCAGAAAAAATGCATTTGAAGTAATTTTAAAGTTGAAGCCTTTCTGCTGGTTTAAATGTAATTAATTATTAACAATTCTCTGAATTATAAAGTAGAAAAATTATATTTATATCATTTTTTTTAATAACAAAATGTTTTATCTTCAAATACTCTACTAAATTAACCAGGACTACAAACAAATCCGGGAGCTCAAATTAACTTACTAAATAATATTTTTAGCATCCGCAATTGTATTATAAAAACTAAATGCAAAGATAGTTTTACTTACTCCTGTTGAGATTCCTTCCCGTCCATATGTATATGCGTTGTCTATGAGAGAGTCTAATTTTTCCTCCCACCCTTCGGGCAAATATGCATGTAATTCACTATTTTGAACGAATGTACTGTTCAGTAAGCTACCACTGAGCTGTACTACGACTATCGCTTCAGAATATATCTGTAACAATACAAAAAAAATGAGAAATTTATATATTAAGGTATACAACTTTGCTCCCGCCTTTTTTTTAAAGATGGCGCTAGCGACAATTAGACGTCGAGTATATACATTATGGATGACTTAAAATACTCTTTAGTATCTTGTGAACATAACCTGATAGCAACAGTAGTTGATTTGTGTTTACATCATATAGTTATTCTCGAATAACTGCCTCGGTGGTGTAGTGGCTAGCATGTACGGCTGCACACCCGGAGGTCCTGGGTTCGAGTCCCGGGTCGGGCCAAGTTTAGTTATTGAGTGTTTCTGTATATTAAGCCTCAGTAACAGCCCGGAGTTGGGAAGTTGGAGGTGTTTCACCCCCGTGCCTCGGAGAGCACGTAAAGCCGTCGGTCCTGCGCCTTAACTCTGGTCGTGTCGAGTAGTCGTCCCACCAGAGTATGAGAGTGACAGGAATAGAGAGTGCATTTGTGTCTACGCGTACACTTGTGCACTATAATATCTCCTGCGCAGTTGGCTAGTCTCAATGAGATTGGCCGCCGTGGCCGGAATCGGTCAGGAGAACATCATCATCATTCTCGAATAAAAATGTCAACTTATGAGCCGAATTGTTGTCATTTGCGGGAAGTGCTAATTTTTTTTTTATATTAAAAATGTGCGACTGAGGCTCACCAACTGCTTTCAGACGCTTATGGTGAAGTTCCTATAAGTGAAAGAATATGTTGTGAGTGGTTTCAATGCTTCAAGAGCGGTGATTTTTCCGTAGAAAACCGGCATAGTCATGGAAGATCAAAAGTTTTTGAAGAAGAAGAATTAGAGCATTTGCTCATTGAAGATTCGTGTCAAAGTCAAGAGGAGTTGTCAAGATCATTGCAAGTGAGCCAAAAAACAGTTTAAAAATGCCTAAACAATCTGGAAATGATCCAGAAGCAAGGATATTGTGTGCCATACGAGTTGAAGCTTAGAGATGTTGAACGACGTTTCTGTATTAGTGAACTTCTGCTTGAAAGGCAAAAACGGAAACGATTTTTGCATCGCATTGTGACTGTGACGAAAAATGGGTTATTACGATAACCCCAAGCGCCGAAAATCATGGGGTTATCCCGGCCAAGCTTCTGCTTTTACAGCTAAACCGAATGTTCACGGCTTCAAGGTCATGCTCTGTGTTTGGTGGGACCAGCTCGGTGTAATATATTATAAGCTGTTAAAACCGTCTGAAACAATCACAAGAGATCTTTATCAAACGCAATTAATGCGTTTAAGCCGAGCATTGAAAGAAAAACGGCCGCAATCCTTTGAAAGACATGATAAAGTAATTTTGCAACGTTGACAACGCTCGGCCTCGGGTTGTAAAAGTTGTCAAAACATACTTAGAAAAGTTGAAATAGGAAGTCTTACCCCACCCGCCGTATTCTCCAGACGTTGCTCCCTCTGACAATAACCTATTCCGGTCCATGGCACACGGCCTAGTACTTTTAGACTTATGAAGAAGTCCAAAATTGGATCGATTCATGGATCGCTTCAAAAGATGACCAGTTTTTTTCGACACGGGATCCGATTGTTGCCAGAAAGGTGGACAAAAGTTGTAGAAAAGAATGGACGATACTTTGAAACATAAATGTATAATCAGATTTTTTACAATAAAGCTTTGAATTTTGAAAAAAAAACGGCGGAAGCAAAGTTGTATACCTAATATAACTGTCAAATGTTGATATAAACAACAAACACGTATTTAAGCTAAATAAATTGTTTTTAAAATGGTAATTTAAACTACATACCTAAATTATATTTTTTGAGTTTTTATATAAATCCCATTCCAAATAATCAACATTAATTCTAAACATGCCACTAGATGGCGCTGTTATAGTATTGGTTTCAATCGGTAGAGAAGTGTTGAGATTAATAAAAAAACGCATAATGTCTCATTATATCCTAGATTAAAACAAAAGCTTATTATCGATGTAGCTATCACAAAATCAGAACTTATGTAAAGTTAAGTTAGTTATATACCTACTTACTTGTATACAAATGAATATAGTGGCAACCGCAACAAACAGTATTAGACCAACAATGACTATGCACGTAGAAACCGTGTCCACAGACTCGTATGCCATTTCGATTACACTGGAGTTGCAAATTGAAAGCATCTTTCCTATACCGCGTATCTCTGCTGGTAGTAGGGCAGATTTTCTATAAAATAAAATATATCAATTAATAAAAATTGAATACGCCACAAGGCGCTAGTGTAGAGTGAGATCTTTAGAAATGTCAAATATCACTGAACATTTACTGTTTCCGAGCTTTTCATCGAGAACTTTCACTAATTTCTGATGATTTTATCAATTGTGCCATTCCTGATAAATTATGGCATACATACGGTACTGCTAAAAATGTTAGTGCTCTAAAAGAAGTGCTTAGAAAAAATCATTATTTAATGTATTTAGTTATTATCAAATATTTAAAATAAAATCCTGATAAACTAAATAAATAAATATTTTGGGACATTAACACACAGCACCACCTAGCTCCATGGTAAGCTACGAGGCTTGTGTTATGGATACCAGATAGTTGATACACTACACATATATAAATTTAAATATGTACATACATATTATAAATATAAACACCCATGACTGGAGTACAAACATCCGTGCTTATCACACAAATGAATGCCCCCAGCGAAACTCGAACCCGCGACCGCTGGCACAAGTAGGATCACTACAAACTGAGCCAAACGTGTCGTCGAAACTGGTTCCACACTAACAATTATTACTATTTTAAATTTATTCGCCCTGCTGTACTAACAAATACTTTTTTAACGTCAGCGATAGGACCTTACTCGCCAGTCTCCGCCGCGTCTGTCTGTTGGTCTGAACGCGATAATTTAAAAAACTGCTGAACGGATTTTCATACGGTTTTTACCTATGGACGGATTATTCATGAGGAAGATTTAGATATATAATGCGTTACGGTTTTGTGTAAATTGTTTGAAATTTACTTTACTGGCTTTAGATGCTTATGTATCGATCAAAAAAGTACTAGATACACAACCCCATCCAGAATTTCTGATTTAATTGTCACTAATTGCGTTTAGGTAATTATTCTAGTTGAAATAAATATACAACAATGTAAATTGAACTTTAAATGCAATGCTGACTTGTTTCCAAAAAAAATATTAAAAACGCGCTCAAATGTTCAAATGAGCGCTCATTCGGTGAGGATATTTTTTGTCGCTGATTGTGTATCTAGTACTTTATTAATCGATGGTTATATGAAAACAAGGGATATATTAAGGAATTATTCCTCTTAAAAAGATCTATTAAACTGTAGCAATGCTATAACTAGGGACACACGCGAGCGAAACGAGTGTAGTGTCGCCGGTAAAAATAATAATAATTAAAAAAAAAAGTACCTTTCATTCCACCAGCCTCCTACTTTTGCTTTAAGGCAATTGTATTGATTCTCGAAGAACAACCAAACACCAAAGAAATTTAGCATTATTTTTATAATATGTATAGCCAAAAAGAACAGCATGACTGGTAACAACCATATATGCTTCCAAATAAGCATACAAAGGCACCCGAAGAATAAAAGTTTGAAATACAATGCTGTTTCATCATCATTGAAGTTATTTCTTATATAATTCTCATCTAAAGATCTCTGCCTAAAGGAAGCTAATATGCGATTTTCTATGGATTTCGATTTTGGGTTTGGCAATGGTAGTGCGGATAGAGTCCTTGTTTTAAACAATAGCTTGGCTTGTCTGTGAGAACTTTGAATGGGGTCGTTTCCCGTCCAACTTCCTCTTTTAACGACAGTTTCGGGGGTGACGGGAGAAGGGGAGTCTTTGTCGGGTGTAGAATCTTTTTCACTTGCACCTTCTGACATTTCTTCTGGTTTTTCTTCAATTTTTTCCAATGTATTATCACACTGTTTATTGGTTAATGTATATTGTAGTGCTTTAAATATTGATGCTTCAGGATCTGAAATTAAAAATTATTATATTTTATTATTGATTTTGTGGTAGCCCAGTGATAATGCGCTCGCCGGGAAACCGAGTGAAGCAAGTTCAAATTCCGGTCTCGCACTTCTGATATTTTCATGTGTGAATAATTACCAACATGATTACCACTTGCCTTACGGCGAAGGAAAACATCGTGGGGAAACCTGCATGTCTGATAGAACCTAGTAAGTTTTCGAAAGACATGTGAAGTCTTCTAACCCGCACTTAGCCAGCGTGGTGGACTATGGCTTGATCTAGCTCGTTATGAAGGGAGGCCCGTGCCCAGCAGTATATATAGTAGTAGTACCTTTATTTATATCACACGCCAATTTCCTATTATGTTGGGAATGATTCGCACGTGAAAATATCAAAGGTGCGAGACCCGGGATTTAAACCTGCTTCTCTCGGTTTCCTAAGCGAGCGTATTACCACTGGGCTACTAGTGCCCATGAAATCAATCTAGTGCAACAGTCAATATTACTTAATAGATAATTAATACAGCCAAGATAACCTTGATATATGAAAATTACCTTTAATTATAAGTTGTTTATGCATATGAATCACTTCTAAGATAAAACCAGTTATACAGATGGCTTCCAGGAATATAAACATGTATACTTTGAATGATCCTGCTAAATTAGCTATAAAACTTGCAATAACCAGCCACAGAATGTGAGATGTGAATCGGAACATTGAAGCTCTTGATGGTTTCCACATGAAATATACACTTATCATGTACGCAAGTGCAATTGTCATTGTCTGCAATAACATATTTAAAATTAAATAGTGAGACAACTTAAAATTTTAAGTTAGAAATACTTTACTCATACACTATTATCGATCAAAAAATATTAAGAATAGACCAAATGGTTCATAATTAATATCATATATCTGTTTACTTACAATGTATGAGCTGCAAAGTCTGATGAGCAGAGTAGTGGTGAAACTTATAAAACTGACAAATTGCCAAAAGATACAACAGAAACTTCTTGGTATCGAACTGTACAGCCATGGTAGTATAAATATTGCTGAAAGCAATCCTATTACAGTCTGTAAATATAAATGTTCATATTAACTAGTGACTTACCCTCGCTTCACTTGGGTTCATCCTTAAATGATTTTTTAAATTGACATAACTTTTTTATTTATGAACCGATTGAAATAAAACAAATGTTATGATTTTTGATTTCTGACGTTTCGAATGCTTTACAGCATGATTGGTCACGGGAGAGACTACGGTTTTAGATGTCTCAAAGGAAATTATATGCTTGTTACAGACAGTGCTTTTTATAAAAATGATTTCAAAAATTCAAAAATGGCACTAAGTACCTTACAATATTTGTCGATTTAAAATGTTTAGAATTGAAATAAGAAAACTTTATACAGAGAAAACTTTTTATAATGTTGTTTGTTATCATGAAAATCTTCTTATAACATAGAAATTACTTCAATTGGGTTTGGTTTACCTTAAAACCCATACAATGACACCACATCCTAAGATATGGATACAATACAAAACAAATACTGGCCCAGCAAATAATGAGACAATAGTAGTTAAGAATTTATGCTATATTTTCAAATAAATCCTAAGAAATAGTTCCAAATTTACTTATAAAGAATTAGGTTTATTTATAAATAATTAAAATGCTCGCATAAATCCAAATTATATACCTTGTAATGTTCTCTGAACTGATGTCCAACAGTATCTGATGCATAGTTTATCACATTCACTGGAATTACCATTAATCCATATATTACAGATGAATTTGATTTCTCAAGATCTTGAAACCATGTCTTAATTTTTTTGGATAATTTGTATTTAAAGGGATGAAGCAATGATCCGACTAGAAGAGCCCAAAATAACGGTTTGAAAAAAGGTTCTAATATTAAAAATAAAACATAAACAGCTGCGCAACAAATTGCTAGGATAAATAGGGCGAAGGCGTTGTAGAATCCATGTTTCATGGGTTTCTCATTCCCTTCTGAGAGACCACCGATAATATTAAAAATATTTTCAAACGGTGATTGTTGCATTATGTAAACAAACTATGAGCACCATTTAAAATGTGAAGAAACTAGCCAAATGGAAAAAAATCAACATAGATTCCTAATGAGATCATCTTTTATATTTTCGGCAACATTAGACTATTTTGACATTTTTCCCAAGCCATCGTCGTCACTGTCATCATGGTGACAATAAAATGGTGCGTTCAAGTTTACAAACTAAAAAAAATCTTTAGGGGCAAAATTTTGCCTTTTATCCGTCAGATGTCGCGATCACTATGACCGTCAGTATAATGTTAAGCTCCATAGCAAATGGCTATAATTGGTGCCCAAAAGACAAAACCTGAACAAATTGTGGATTAAAGCAATAAGAGAACCAAATTCGGCGAAATCACAATCATTATATTCAAGGTTATGTGGACATCATTTTACAGAAAGTGATTTTAAACCCAAAAATCGTCTGCAGGTGAATAATATTTTTAATTTTTTGTACTTTTTTACATTTTAATTACAAAGTTTCATACAGCATTTCATCTCCCATTTTACCCACTTATGGAATTGAATTTCGAAAAATGCTAAAACATGTTATTATTTTCCACTTATGGGATTGAATTTCGAAAAATGCTAAAACATGTATTTATTTAATTATATTGAAAAGCATTAATACTAAGTTTAAAGTGATTCTGATCATAGATAATACTCTTACCCCTTTAAGGGATGAATTTAAAAAAAACATTGCACAGGTAAGATGCAAACACAATAGAAGCAAAATACCAGATATAAAAGAGATATCACATTAAATTGCACTCAGACTGAATGCAAATAGGCCATACGTGTGGCGCCCTCCTTTCGAGAAATCTTCCCCATTAGCTAAGAGTTAGGCATATTAAAAGTGAAAATTGTCTTCTGATTACTAAGATTTGAAAAAAATATATAAGTTATTTTCAATTCATGCATGCATTTACGACTTTTTAGATGATTTATGTAAAATACAAACATACGCTATGTTTGTACATAGGTACGTTTTAATTTTTTTGAGCGCAACAGTAATTCTTTTTCTAAAATAAAAGTAGCCTAGGTTACTCCCTATAACATCAGCTATCTCCCAGTGAAAGTTCCGTCAAAATCAGTCCAGCCGTTTTAAAGATTATCTGGAACAAACAGACAGACAATTAAAAAAAAATGTTTTTCTTATTTATTACCTCGTCTGTCGATCGACCTTTTAAAGGTCGATGTCAAAAACACCCTTGTCTGTCAAGCGACCTTTTAAAGGTCGATTGGTCCCGATGTCATTTAATGTGTGATTTCTCGCATTTAAACTATATTTATTTTTATCTAACTTTTGAAATGTGTAAAGAAAAATACAAGCAATAATATCATACTACATGTCAAAAAAGTAATAACTCCAATAACATAAATTTTTGTAATTTGTGCAGACAATTTATTTAAATTTTGGCGGTCTTCGAACTCAATACTTGTGAGTAAAAAATTAATAAAATAGTGTAAAATTATTAGTATAGGGATTGGAATATGATGGAAGGGTAAGTAATTAACAGTTTTTATTTCATAGGATGTGTATTGAATAAAGATTTTATACAGAAATTGTTATATTTGTCAAACATCGTAAGCATTGACGCGCGCTAAGTCCTTATATTTTCACTCTTTCTGAATAAAAAATACACTAGTGATAGCATAATATTTTTATTAACAAGATTTAAATTTATAACTAAATAACTACTTATAATTGAATTTGTAAATTTTCTATTAGATTTTAAGTAATTAATAATATAATAACACGTAACCCAAATTCGAGCCGCCATTTTTGACGGTTGTTGGCTAGTATGGGGAAGGCTTTTTTAATATTCATTAGAATATTTTCATTGATGTTGTTTTAGCATTATTTGAAATTTAATATTTTATAAATATTTTAACTGTTTTTCTAAAAAGAATGAATTTTTTAAAACAGTACGATTTTTATTTTACAGATATAAGTTCAACTTACACATTACTTTAAAACATTATAAAAATAAAAAAACCTAACTGCATAAAAGCTAACTAAAAAGATAAATAATAATAATAATAATAATATTTTTATTTAAGACTCAGTCCACTTGTTAGTTACATTTAAAAACTTACAACTATGTTAGTAAAACTTATTGTGTAATATATAATATACCTACTAAACAAATAAAAATAAATTCTTTGGCTTCCGAGGAGACTCCTGTGCTAAAGATTATAGTTAGCAACGGGAGCATGAAGCTGTACCCAGCGACAAAACAACGGGGAGTCCCACCGGTCGGCCAAGGCACTCAGGATGGTGTTCGATGCCCCGCTTAGTCGCGCCCACAGCGAGGCGCACCTTTTTCTTATGATCGCGTGAAAGCAGTCGGTACGCGCCTCGGCAAACATTGACGACGCGCTACAGAAGCGCGGTAGACCGAACAACATCCTGAACGCGTTGTTGTATTGGACACGTAGAGCACTGTATGCTCGCTGCGTGAAATCGACCCACAGACCGCACGTGTAGAACGATTGACAGTAGGCTTTGAAAAGTGTTAGTTTGACTTGTTTACTACAGCGCGCAAATCTGTGGATCAACATATTACAGCGAACAGACAGCGCCCTACGCTCTCTTTCAATGTCTACGTGTCTGACAAGCTCTCAGTGACCCAGTGACCCAGATATTTGAACCGGTCAACTCTTTTCAACTCAGAGCCTCCTAGAGAAACACAAGTTACTCTCCGTTGTCTCCTTGTGTCACCCGCCTGAAAAACCATTAACTCGCTTTTTAACGCGTTATATCTGAGCCCATGAGCCACTGCGTACTCTTCACACATGTGAAGCAATTTAGTCAAAGCACCGATCGAAGGGCTCAGCAGCACCATATCATCTGCGTAGCTGATGTTATTGATGCACGTCCCGCCTACATGGCATCCTATGTAGGTGCTACTAAGCCCCTCGATCAGTTTATTAATGTACACGTTAAAAAGCTTGGGTGAGGTCAACCCCCCTTGCCTCATTCCACATTCCAGCCCGTACTCATCCGACCGGGAGCCAGCCCATTTGACGCTATTCCTCTGGTTGTCATACCAATATTTAAATATTGATATGACATCAGGAGGTAAACTGGTTTCACAATGTAGCTTTTTCCACAACAAATTGTACGATACCAAATCGAATGCCTTCGACAAGTCCAAAAAGCAAGCATAGATTGGGGTTTTTCGAGCCGTGTAGTACTGCACAGTCTGCTTGAGACAGAAAATGGCACTCCCTGTGGACAGACCGGGTTTAAAACCAAACTGTAAATCATGGATTTTAATATTTTCGTCCAATCTTCTGCCAAGCAAACCGTCCAGCACCTTGGCTATAACTGTAGCCAAGGATATAGGCCTATAATTGGACAAGTCGGAGGCATCCCCCGTTCTATTCTTTATTATAGGCACAACAAGAGTATACATTAATTCATTCGGTAAGTAACAATGACTTATACATAAATTAAAAAATATAGCTAATATTCGGGGCAAATGCACCCCCGCGTACTTCAGATGCTCGATGCTGAGATCGTCGTGACCGGGAGACTTACCTCTGACCATTCCTTTAATAATTGAGGCGACCTCACATTCAGAAAACCTGACAGTAAAGTCTCCGTCGCGACACCCAGCATCGAACACCTGCGACTCTAGAGGGAGAGAAGACTCCACTTTAAAGTGCTTGCGGAAGGCATTGGCTACATCAGTCGGATCAAACTTACCATCTACACTCACGGGGAGGCTCGATTTTGGATTAAGTTTATTAGTGTTTTTCCAAAATTTATTGAAATTTTTATCAGCATGGTTTTGAGCAATAATATCTAGTTTTATTTGTTGTTCGTTATTTTGACAATATTTTAATTTAGTTTTAAATAATTTTCTCGATTCACGCATCTTATCATAGATAAAACCAGTGTACGGTTTTCCATATAGTATCCAAGACTGATACCAGAACCGAGCCTCCCTGTGAGCGCTACTAACGTGCATATTCCAGCCTGCTATGCACCTATGCTTCCTAACTTTTTTATCGATATAACTATATTCTGCCGAGTCTCTTAGAATACAAACAATCTCATTATACATTGTTGTTATTTTAATTTTATGATCGATGTTTGAACACCTTTTGTTAGCACATGCATAAAAATCACCTGGAAGGTCTATTAAGTGTAGTTTACTATTACAACTATCAGTATATTGCTGTATTTCATTACTGTCTCTTTCACCCCATTTTATTTTATTAACATATTGTGTGGGGGCCACAATTTTACACTGAATTTTGCTTATATTACATTCAATTAATAAGGGAAAATGATCAGACCAGTAAACGTCATGATTTAAAACAAATGCATTAAGTACAGAATGCCGCGCGGCACTAGTAACAATACAATGGTCGAGCCATCTGCGAGAACCGTGTGAATCACTAACATATGTATAAGTATCGCTAGGTAATAGCTCCATATCTACACACGACCACATGTTTTCTTTACAAAAATTTAAAAGCTCTAGCGAAAACTGCTCACCTGGGTGTGCATTGAAGTCCCCAAGAATAAAAACAGATTCGATGCTGTTTGTCTCTACTAAAGCACTTATTTCACCCATACAGTCCGTAAAGTCAACAAGGTTCACCGCCGAGTCCGTAGGCATATACACAGTAATCACTAGCATCGACTTACCACTGTCGAGGTGTATTTTAATAGCCGCTAAACGCACACTATGACACTCAACTACCGACACACGCGGGAACGCAGACTTCCTTCACAATAGTGCCATCCCACCAAACGGCCTTCCACGGAGAGTACCCTGAGAAGTGTCTACCGCTGATTTTCCAGTAAACGCGAAGTCCTTATCTATAGTTCCAAGAAAGTTGAGATCATGTGGTAAGAGCCATGTCTCTTGTAAGGCAATTATGTCAGCCTTTCGGCAGAGAGACCTCAAACAAGCAACGGACCGCTGTACATTTCTACAATTGAAACTGATTATTTTAGTTGTAACAGCCATTATTTATTTAAGGTACTCCTGGGCATTTGGCCACTTCGGTGTCTTTCTTTAAAGTCTATAAAACGTCTAAACGCCACTCCTTCCGGCCAAAATTCATCTTTTAAAAAATATTCAATTTTGCTTTTAGGCACATAGACTTTATATGCATCATAATCTTTTTGCGTTTTCATAATAACCTTTTCCAAATCAACAGACACATCTGTCTTACTTTTTACATAATTTTGAATGTCATCTTCCGTGACATCTTTCGCTATGTTATATATATACAAAGGGATTCGTATATCCGCCGCTTTAAAATTTATATTTGATTCGACAACGGCTTTTCCTTTGTTACCAACAAATCGATTTCTCAATCTTTTTTTTTGTACTAATATCCATTGCTTATTTCCTTCTTGAGGCTTCCATTCACCTTGTTCCAAAACTTTAGAGTAAGATTTTTTCTCCTGCGGCCTGCGGTCATTGTAGCACGGCCCGTCCGATAGTATTGTAGGCGCAGGTACAATCGACGCATGAGTCATGCTCTCGCTCGACGCTGACTTCGTGTTGTTTACCTTTTCGAGCGGTCCGCTCACCGCTGACTCGATGAAGTCTGCCGGTGGCATACCGTTATTCATCTGTTCGTTCGATGATTTGTTTTTACTTCTACCGTCTTGGGGATGTTGATTTTCATTACGGGTTTTTCTGCTCGGTGATAATGGGCAGGGACCCTCACAATGATCCTTCTCACTGCTGATAGGATGCAATCCCATAGGACCACTGTTACATTCGAAACTTTCTAACATACAAGCACCTCTTTTCGAATTTATATTACTAGATAATTTATTTACAACGGAGGCCTCCTTTAGGGTTTCAATGTCATGTTTCAATTTAAATCCTCCTTACTTACATAGCACTGAGAAATATTATTGATATCCTGGCGCATTTTCACTAAATCCTTAAGAATTTGCGTTACATCGACATGATCGAAAAGAACCGGGGGTAGTTTTTGCAACTCCCGTGCGACGAAGATCGGTAGAACTTCAGGATCAGCTTCCTTCAGTGTACAGAGGATGTCATCAATATCTCTTACAGTCTTCCCATCACGTTTTCTGGTCTTGATCTGCTTTGACAAGGACTCATACAGTAACCGTTTCGCAGTCACAATATCACTTTGAGAGAACGCCGTCACACATATACGGCTGATACTCTCCTCATCCATAATGTCCATTTTATTACAAATGAAAGCAAGCACCTCATTAATTACAATATTACACGATCTACATTTTACAGTTGTAGACATTTTGATTAAAAATGTCACCTACGAGTAGCTCGGGAATTAACGACCGTCCGCTAGCGCGTGACGAACCGAACTGAAAAAAACTGATAAAAACAAGTTGCCGAAGGAATAAAGTATTATCCCCCCCAACGTGCGTTCACCTTGTCGTGGTGGGGGGGCTCAGTAGTAGTAGCGAAGTTAAGAAATGCACAGGGAGGTTGCCCACTTCGGTGGGCGGTGGGAGGTGACCCTCATCGGGGGGCGGTGTACCTTGCGGGTTGCTCCTGGTACTTCTCTGATAGCAGAGTGGACCTTGGAGCAACCCCATGGTTGTGGTGGTCTGCTTTGGCAGACCTGCCGTCGGGGCGTCGTAGTTGAATGCGTAAGCGATCCTGCGACGCCCCATTAAGACGGGGGAAGGTTTTGTTGGGTTTTAGTGGGTAGTACTGGCTGTATTACTCCGGTGAGCCCCACACGTCGTGCGTAAATGCATTTCCCAACGTTAAAAAAAAAAAAAAAAAAAGGAATAAAGTATTATGCAGCTGGTGACATACACATGTACATCTCGCGACAAGGATGAAATGTATTTTTTTATTTACAGCTTTTTAATTGTATTAGAAATTTGAAGTTATAATAGGTCTTTTGAAATTGCCGTTCTACAATACTTACTGGCCATTGGAAACGTAATTTATGATTGGCCGGCAATCAATTCTAAATTCAAATGAATTTTATTTTAAGAGTATGGATTCTGTTTTTGAATTCAGTCGTTTGTTTATTAAATAGTGTTTTGTTTTCACTACATTTGTTTGTTTTCATCAATATAAACACAATAAAAATACGAGTAATTATGAAATACGAGTTCCATCGCGGTAGCAGTCCCGCACAAACGGCTCGCAAAATTAATGACGCGTACGGAGTGCCGAGTGAACACTACAAACGAACGCACAACTCTTTATTGGTCTGAACACTTCCAACATCGAAATTTTGATCTTAAAAAATTAACCCCGTGGTCGCCCGAAAACTAAAATCAGTAACGACGCATTAAAGGCGATAGTGGAAGCTGACGATACTCAATCTGTGGCTGAGATAGCAACAGCTTTCAACGTTAGCATCAAAACAATATTGGTCCATTTGCATCAAATTGCATCAATAGCATGGGTGCATATTTTGATTAATATAAATGAAAAATATTTATAAATATACAATACTTTAACTTTCTGTATATTAAACGACAATTTCATAGGTAAAGACTTAATATTTAGCAATTTCTTATCCCAAATTACCTTTAAACATGTAAGTTGTGTTCTCTTAATTTTTTTTGTGATCACCAAAAATCTTTATTTTGAGACCCCATTCGATTGATTTGGAAGATTTTTTTACAGACACACAAATTGGCGCCTGATATCCGCCATTTTACTTTTTAACTATTTTTAATTTTTAACTATAACGCGAGTATTATAGGCTATACATAGCTTACTACGAAACTTACACTCTACACACTACTTACACTCGCTTAAATACGAAACTAACGACATATGAATCATAGAAATCGGCCCACGCGTTTGGTCTCTAGAGTGTCATACATACATATGTACATACATACATATATAGACTGGTAAACACATTACCCTCCTTTGCGTCGCGCAGTCGGGTAAAAAATAAGTTTATTTGCATCTGATACTTTCTTAGATTTACGCGAGTATTTGACATTTTAAATAAAAAAAAAATAAATAAATATAATAATAGCAACACTAAATATAGATTACTAATTAATATTTTAAAATTGTAATAATTATAAAAATAATAGCAAAAATTAAATAAATAATATTCCATATTCAATTATAATTAAAATTATAAAAATGTTTAAAGTTAAAAAATAATGTAATGTAATTGGTGCAATTTTCATTTTGTTAATTGTGGGTAGGCTGTCTGTAACAACTATACCTCCAAGACATGTAACACCTCAGTCTCTCCCGTGACCATGGATGCTGTAAAGCATTCGAAACGTCGGGAAACAAAAATGCAAATAAATCCGCGACAAAATCCGAAAAGATAGTTTTATTTGCATCTCTTAAACTAGTATCATGTTGCATTTTATGTTTATTGTAGCTGCACCAAAATTGCTTAAAACATGCCTTATTAGATTACAATATTATGATCGGAGGGTGAACAAGAAAGACCAATTGTAGGCAATGTACCCCATAGAGCGGAAGCGAACAAGGGTGTAGTATAAAAAACTATTTATTTAAAAACACCGACTTCCAGGCACTAAAATGTAAAAAATAACTAAACGGAGGTTTTCATTTAGAATAGATATCTAATCAAATATTTTCGAAGTCGGTGCCAGCCGACAATATTTTAAGATATGAATATCTAATACGTAAATATGAATTTTATGTATCGAAATATATTAGATTTGCTTTGCATCGGCTGGAACTGACTTCGAAAATTTCTGATTTATATATTATACCACGCCTTTGTTCGTTTCGACGACGTGACTGAACATCGAAGACGTGGTGAACATTATATGGGAGGAGGTTAGTACAGTTACGTATGTATCTTTACTTAGTAATAATTATTATTTGTTGCTTTTAGGATAGGTGTTCATCTTTTTTTTTCATTTAAAAAAATATATGGATAAAAGTTTCTACCTGCAAGCAATATTCATTAAAAAGTGTCCTTCACATAACAAAAGGCATCCAAAATTTTCAACTTCAGATTTAAAACATCTGTGAGTACTAATTACAAAGTTTGTATACTCTACTATATTTTTTGTTACTACTATAACTATGGAGTCCATGAAATACTCAATACAGTAACTGGCACAATACTTCAATCTTATAAAATATAAATGAAAAATTTAAAAGTAACCCCGACATGTAATTCACCATTTTGTGGTGGCGACCATCTTGGATTCGAAAATTATACTAGTCAAGCCTAATTCATTTGATACCCATATTGAGGGAGTTGTGAAAAAATATGTAATCCGCTATTTTGTGGCGGCGGCCATCTTGCACCGATTTTCATCAAATATAGCTAAGAACACTTCCGAATAATTCACCTTTCAAAGAAAAAATAAAATCGGATCATCTCTTCGGGAGCTACTATGCCACAGACACACACACACACATACACAGCATATCAAACTTATAACTCCCCATCGTTTTTGCGTCGGAGGTTAAAACAGTAGAATAAAAGTAATGCCCGTCCGAATTAATATTTGAAGTTGTTTTATTTTGTATTGATGTTTTTATTATCATTTTATTTCCATAACATAATCTGTTCAGATGTGATGGAATTGGTCGTATCCATACTTTTTTAGCTGCCCCTTGTAATTCTTATAGTGAAATTGTTAGTTTTCAGAATTGATTTCTGAAATATTCTTATAAGGCAACATGTATTTCTATTATAATTTTGTAATTTTAAATTTCACTAAATTGTAAGATGTTAATACATTTTAATGAAATTTTAAACAGAATTTGCTCAGCGATCCAAAGTTCGAGATGACGTTTTTTAGCACTTATTTTAAAGTGTTTGGTTTATTGTTTAATTCTCGTAAACTAAATAGTTATAAGAACTCAAACTATGTCAGTATAACGTATGTGGACTAAACTATAATATAAATGATTATCCTAAATCTCTCGATCTTCAATGCTCTCAGGATTAAAGTATAAAAAATACCTCTTTTTTATCCAGCGCTAAGTCGCTATGATTGAGACATGTTATTGTAAAAGCTTGTGGTATAAAAAAATGTACAGTGAGTTGTGTTGTTTTAATCAATTAATATAAAATATAGTATCTATAATTAAATGAAATAATAACTTTTTTAAATAATAGTTCTATTTTGTAATAATTCCTGTTTTCATACTTTAAACTGATAAAAAATCACTTACAGTAATTTCAACTTAGAATTAACTATATATTATTAAATATAATTGAACTCATTTATATATATATTCGTAGTTTATTTTAAAACGATTCTAACGATATAACCTTTATATATAGCTTGTATATAAAATTTTAAGGTATATTGTTATTTTAATGATGCGTACATATTTCGCGCAGGCCCTCGGAAAGTAGCTGACAGATGTGCCATATTCTTGTAAAATGACAGCGACAGTTGAGGGGATATACCGTATGTAATGTCATATGCATTTAGTAAAACGCTATTATTTTGACATTACAAACAGAACTTCAATTTTATTTATCTGTATAGATTAAGTTGTATAATTAATTTATATTTAGCAAAAAATTTTAAATCATTATTTAATTTTATTATATTCTTTGCATACTTTTCACCATTTTTGGGGGTTAGTTACAAAATACCGCGAAGTTCGTTAGTAGTGAATACAATCCACAGAACACTTTTACTGATGCGGTCTGTACTCATTAAACGCATGTTAAGATTTTAAATTTTTTGTTCTTTTTCATTGTTAATTTTCTCATATTATTTTCCAGTAGCTAATAGTTTTTGTTAATTTTCATATATTATGTACGTTCATTTCTAGTTTTTTGTTTTAATATTAT